TCCAGGCCAAGACCCAGCTGGGGACCCAGGGTGTGACTGGAGCTGGTGGCAGGGCAGTGCCCTTCTGGAGTTTGCATGAGCAGGAAGTCTGTTGCCCTCATCCCACTGGTAATGTGAGAGATGCCCTTATCACACAGGTTCTATTTTAGGATCGCTTGAGGCCAGCCAGCACCTCTCCTCCCCTGACTCAGCTGAAAAGGGTCACTGGGGCCAGACCACCGTGAGCAGGGTGGGTGGCTGTTGCTGGGTGAAGTGAGGGTGGCTGCCAACCGGAAGTCTGCTGGGGAGACATGGTTGAGAGAAAAGCTCTTGGCTACAGGCGTCATGTGTCAACCTGACCAAAGATGGAACAATTTGAGCATCAAACAGACACACAGCAGATATGTGAATAATGACATCAATGTGCTCATAATGACACTTTCAAAATGCCTTAGTCACCTTTGGAGGATGCGAAAGAATCACCATATTATTTCAAAAACTGCTGTTTGATTTCAGAGAGGAAGGGAGAGGGAGAGAGAGATAGAAACATCAATGATGAAACAGAATCATTGATCGCCTGTCTCCTGTACGCCCCCAATGGGGGATCGAGCCCGCAACCTCAGCATGTCCCCTTGACCGGAATCAAATCCATGACTCTTCAGTCCGCAGGCCAACACTCTATTCACTAAACCAAACCAGCTAGGGCCATTACTGCCCTTTCTAACTGGTAAATTAAATGTCATAAATATTCTGTTGAAGGAAAATCTAATCTGCTCCAAAGAGCACAACACAAGTAAACATAATGACTGACCAGATTGTTAAAGACAAATAAAAATGTCCTCATGGGTGAAATGGAAAGGGGACTGCCACTTGGACAGCACTTACCAAGGAAACACTGCTAGACATTCCAGCATCCACTAACCACCACCCTCACGAGATGGGAGACGTGTGGAAGTCACATTTAGTTTGTTCACATCATGTATTGTGACCATTACTCACTAGGCCAGTAGTTCTCAGCTGGGGACAGATGAGCTTTGCCCTCTGGGGGAAACTGGCAACAGCTACAGACATTTGTTCCTCATACCTGGCAGTGAGGAAGTGCTACTGACACCTAGTGGGGAGAGGCCACAGGTGCTGCTAACCACCTGGCAATGCACAGAGCCAATCATAACAATGAAGAATTGCCTCCATTGTCAATAACCCAAAACGTCAGTAGTACTGAGGTTGGTAAACCCTCATTTTTAGGCCAAGAAATGAAAGAGGGGATCTTTGAAAACAGTATAGATGGCACCTCTTTTTGTTTTGTAATATATTCTGGTTTCTTTTTTTTTTTTTGTAAGGGGTCCAATAGAATTGTTTATGCTGTTTTTTTGTTGCTGTGTTGTCATTGTTTTTGTCTTTCCCGTGGGTAGGTAGTGCATAGGGCTAAAGCCATAGGAAGAAAAGTGTGATGTGTCCAATTTCCAATGCTTCATTTTGCAAGAAGAGTTGAATTATTGTTTCTATAGAGTAAACTATTTCTTAGTCATTTTACTCTCAAAGTTGGAATTATATTTAATTGCCCTGAATATTATTCATGCCTAGTGACATATGTATCTATGAAATTATGTAACAATTTTGTATTGACACATAATTCTTCATTTATATAAACCTGTTTGTTCTTTAGTCTATTAATAATCAATGGAAAATAATGAAAAATGAGATGACTAGGAGATATTCTATAAATCTATCAAATCTTCCTAATGTAGCGCCCTAAACGTATAGAGTATCTTATTGCTTTCAAGTTTCTAGAGTGACTTTTACTTCAAGTTTATTGCTGCATAGGAGGATGGAAATTTACCTGAAGTAAAAGCCACCTGGGAGTGAGGACCTCACTTGTTAGGCAATATCTCCAATAATGAAAACAGATTTATTGAGCATAAGTTTCTCTTTTTTTATGTGATAGTGTCACTGCTTACTTTTTAGAAAAACTTATTTTATACCCAAATCTATCAATAAATGTTAGTTTTCTCATTTAAAATAAATAAATGAAAAACAGGACAGGGACGATAACAAAATCATAGGAGCAGTCTGGGGGTCCAACACTGGAATAATTGGAGCTTCAGAATGAGAGAAGAGAAAATGGAAGATTTCCCATAACTGAAGGAAAGGGGTTTCCAGAGTGAAAGGCATCATCAAGTGCCCAGCACAATATAGAAAAGTAGATCCACACAGGTATATCATCGTGAAATTTCAGAGCACTGAAGGTAAAGAAAAGATTCTATACCTTCTGGAAAGAAAAAGTAGATCACATACAAAGGATCCAAAATCTGAACCATTTCAGACTTCTCGACAACAAGAGCATTAGTTATTTGACAATGAAGCAATACCTTCAAATTTTGGGGGGGAAATATACTCTTTTGCATCAACATGCACCTAAGAACTTTTCCAATGTTTTCACACACAAAAAATAAATGGTACTGAAGGTGCAGGAAGGGAGAGGAGGGAGTGAGAGAGAACAGGAAAGAAGTTAGCTTCCCAGGAGAAAAAAGAGATTCCAAAAGAGAGGGATCACGGCCAAAATCAAACTTAGAAAATGAACAAGACTGCATCCCCTGGTGCCCCCTGGACTGGCCCTGGGGTTGCGGCAGGGCTGAGAACAGAGCCTTTCACATGAAGAGCCGTGCCAGACAGACCACACAAAAAAAATAAATGGTACTGAAGGTGCAGGAAGGGAGAGGAGGGAGTGAGAGAGAACAGGAAAGAAGTTAGCTTCCCAGGAGAAAAAGAAATTCCAAAAGAGAGGGATCACGGCAAAAATCAAACTTAGAAAATGACCAAGACTGCATCCCCTGGCGCCCCCTGGACTGACCCTGCGGTTGCAGCAGGGCTGAGAACAGAGCCTTTAACATGCATGAAGAGCCGTGTCAGACAGACCTGGGCTTCAAACCCTGCTTCTCTCTCCCTTGCCAGCAGACAAGCCTCTCTCTCTCTCCCAGAGGTCAGCAGTTCAGAAGCTGGCCAGCAGCCTGAGGCAGCTGCTGATCAGCCCTGCCTCTATGATCAGGCCCAGAGATAGGCCCAGAGATGCTGACTGGCATAGAAACCAACCAATCAGAGCCAAATATGGGTGAATTGCAAGGAGCCAATGGCTGCCTAGGAGGCAGAGCTTTTGATACTGAGTAGCATAGAAACTGACCATACAGAAGCAAATCTGGGTCAACTGTGAGGAGCCAATGGCTGCCTAGGAGGCAGAGCTTTTGACGCTGACTGATATAGAAACCCACCAATCAGAACCAAATTGGCCTGCAGAGCAGGGCAGTTGGAGGTGAGATCAGGCCTGCAGGGAAAGGCAGTTGGGGGCAAGATCAGGCCGGCAGGGGAGGGCAGTTATGGGTGATGAGGCAGACAGAGGCAGTTAGGGGCGATCAGACTGACAGGCAAGGGCAGTTGGGGGTGAGATCAGGCCAGCAAAGGGTAGTTGGGGGCAATCAGGCTGTCAGGGAAGAAGAGTTGGGGGCAAGATCAGGCCAGCAGGGGAGGGCAGTTGGTGGGGACCAGGCCGGCAGGGGAGGGCAGTTGGGGGCAACCGGGCCAGCAGGGGAGCAGTTAGGTGTTAATCAGGCCAGCAGGGGAGTGGTTAGGGGGCAAAAGCGGTTAGGGCAATCAGGCAGGCAGGCAAGCAGTTAGGAACCAGCAGCTCCGGATTGTGAGAGGGTTGTCCGAATGCTGATTTTGGCCCGATTCCTGTGGGATTGGGCCTAAACCAGCAGTCAGACATCCCCTGAGGGTTCCCAGATTGGAGAGGGTGCAGGTTGGGCTGAGTAACAACGCCCCCCCCCCAGTGTACGAATTTTGTGCACTGGGCCTCTAGTCATTTATATTTCCAAATACACACAAGCTCAAAACATGATACCACCCCAGGAAACTTCTTTTTTTAAAAGAAGTAAAAGGAGGTGGACTTGCCCACGGAGCCCTGCGCACTAGTTAGAAGCAAAGGCTCGCCGTTCCCGTGGCAACGAGGATCACCTTTTAGACACAGTGCTGAGTGGAAAGTGAGAATGAGCACCGCAACACAATACACTTCCATCAATTAAAGATGTCCCACGAACCCAGGAATGCACGTCTATGAGAGCCACCCCTGCAAAATAAACTTTAAACAGCAACAACAAGAAAAGAATCGCACAAAGTGAAGAAGCACACATGCAACACACTGGGATGCTGGCCATTGGGAAGATGGGAGTAAGGGAACCAAAACAACAACAACCCTACGAGAGGGGCCTGCAGGCGGGCAGGCTGCCAGGAGCTAAGGGTATGGCTCTCCTTTGAGCACTGAAATCTCACTAGAGCAACAATGACTTCATGACAGACACAGCCAAGTCCGCTGCATCAAAATCAGGAACTCAAGAAATCCTGTTGTAAAATCAGAAGCGCACGTTCTGTAATCCGGGCGCCAACTCTGTGCCTCTGCTTGTTCCCGCGTGAAGCTGAGGATGGTTTCCACCCTTGTCCAGTGGCTGGAGGAAAAGTCAAAAGGTTACTGTTTGGTGACACATGAAATTCACACGGCAGAGGCCAGACCATTTCCCGGCCGCGGCCACACCCCGGCACCTGCACTGTCCACAGATGCTTTCTCACGGCAGAGCTGAGTCCCTGCAGTGGAGACCACAGGGCCTGCAGGACCTAAGTCTTCACTCTGGGCCCTTTACAGCAGGTTTGCCGACTCCTGTCATAAAGGGATCAGAGGATGGTTACCCTTGTCCAGTGGCTGGAGGAAAAGGCAAAAGGTTACTGTTTGGTGACACATGAAATTCACACGGCAGAGGCCAGACCACCACCCGGCCGCGGCCACACCCCGGCACCTGCACTGTCCACAGATGCTTTCTCACGGCAGAGCTGAGTCCCTGCAGTGGAGACCACAGGGCCTGCAGGACCTAAGTCTTCACTCTCGGGCCCTTTACAGCAGGTTTGCCGACTCCTGTCATAAAGGGATCAGCAGTGCGGCCTCCTCCCTCAGCTTGGGGACCAGCAGGAAGCGCTGGGAAGAGCTGCCTCCCTCCAGGGCAGGGCTGGGGGTCCGCAGGCAGCACAGGAACCGGGGCCTCTCACCCAGCGCAGGCGGGACAATGGTGAAGCTGAGCCTGCACCCACGGGATTGTAGGACAAAAAGCCTTTATCCTCCCCACAGAACCAGAGCCACAAAGGGCTGTGGAGCAGCCATTTTCTTTAACCAGCAAATTAAAACACACTATCTGGCCTCCAACATTCACATTGGAACAACGACCTAAACAACCATTGATAAAAACCAATTGAATAAGTTACTCCCCATCCATATGTTCTGCCCACTAGAGAGAAGAAGGTGGATTTTCATGAGCAGACATGGGAATAATTGAAAAAAGTGTGCTGAGAAACATTATTATCTCCATTTTTGCTTAAAATACGTGTTTATACACTCATAAAGCAAAATGTATTATACACTATGTATGCCCTGAGGAAAAGACACCAAACTGTTGTATATTATATACTGTGGGGGTTGGGACTTTAATATTTTATGCTATATGATTTAATTGGTTTTCTACCAACATGAATTCCTTCCATAATAAAAAATGTTTTAAGATATTTAGATGGGCAAAAACCCCTCATGATGATGAACTCGCATTTTTTTAACTGAAAAAGGAGGACATTATCTTGAAACCACCTCCCATCGAGAACCTGCAACTATGACCATGTTAATGCTGCTTAAAAATGAGTAATATTGTCCAGCATCGACCTATAAACTAGGAGGTCACGGTTCAATTCCCTGTCAGGGCGCATGACCGGGTTGTGGGCTGGATCCCCAGTAGAAGGCGTGCAGGAGGGAACCAATCAATAATTCTCTCTCATCATTGATATTTCCCTCTCTCTCTCTCTCTCTCTCGGGCACATGTCCAGGTGTCAGGCTCAAACCCCAGTAGGGAGTGTGCAGGAAGCAACCGATCAATAATTCTCTCTCATCATTGATATTTCTCTCTCTCTCTCTCCCCCCCCTTTCTCTCTCTGAAATCAATTTTAAAATACTTTTTTTAAAGTAATACTTAAGCCCTAACCAGTTTGGTTCAGTGGATAGAACATCGGCCTGGGGACTAAAGGGTCCCTGGTTCAATTCCAGTCAAGGGCATGTATCTTGGTTGCAGGCACATCCCAGTAGGGGGTGTCTAGGAGGCAGCTGATCAATGTTTTGCTCTCATCAATATTTCTAACTCTCTAACCCTCCCCCTTCCCCTCTGTAAAAAATCAAATATCCTATCTAATAAAAGAGAAACATGGTAATTAGCCGTACCTCCACTACCCTTCCCATTGGCTAATCAGGGCGATATGCAAATTAACTGCCAGCCAAGATGGCAGCCGGCAGCCAGGCAGCTTGAAGTGAACAGGAGGCTTGCTTGCTTCAGTGA